TTGATTTTGTCGATACGGGAACGTACGGGGAAGTCTAGATCCGGGGAATTTCTCCCAATAGTATATTGGTTGCCTTAAGCTCCTGTGCTAAAAAAACTAATTATTAGGAATGCTAGGAATTGTATGAACTCGTAATTAGGGAGAAGCCTTCTTGAAAGGTAATTTAGAGAGTGGCATTAACAATGATGACTTGAATGTTGAATTCCTAAAATATATGAGAGTGGATAAGATGAAATTGACCCCCAACAACATATTCATTAATATATTTCATTGAAAGTGCTTTTCTTTTGTTTTAGCCATTGATTAACCTCATGCATACATGTTTATTTTCGTCTTTTGCATATTAAACTCCACTTATTTTGTTCTTAAGTCTTAGCTAATCAACAAATCACATAACTAAACTAGGTTGTGAGTCCTTTGGGAGAATGATACTTGGTCTTACCGAGTTTATTACTTGAAACGATTTTGTCATACTTGCCGATTGTTCAACAAGTTTGTGACATCATATTTTGGTGATCATAAATTTGTCCATCACATACAAACTGTGAACCATCACCTGTATATAAGCACATCATGCATCATCTCAACATCACTCAATAATAGAGCATCATAAATCAATACTTATCACAAAACATATCATCATTAAACCACAACAGTGTAGTTAATTCAAGTCAAGTACAATAACAAAACAAATGATAAAAAAGAAAGGTTTAGAAAGCTAGGTTGCCTCCCAGAAAGTGCTTCTTTAACGTCACTAGCTTGACAACATTAAGTTCATCTCACATCTTTAATCTTGGTGTTCTCCTTTCTTTCTTCACAACAACTTATCTTCAGCAACTTCATGTTCACCTTCTTGACTCTTCTTGAAATTGGAGATTCAATCTCTATCATTCCATTTCACGACCCATAATTTGTTGTTGAATCTCACTGGTAAGCCTGGTCTAAGTTCTTCATATTTTTCCAGGGAGTCTTGATGAAAACTTCTTCCTTTGTTGTCTTTTTCTTCTTCCTTCACCTGTGACATAAAAAAATTTATACCTTTCTTGCCTAGCTTAGCAACTTTTGTGCTAGTCCCTAGTGCATCTTCACATGCAGCTTTGAGACTAGTCTTCTTTACAAGGGTCTGTTGCTCAGCATTAAAGATGCTGAATATCACCTCCTCTTCTTGGTCTTTGAGTGCTATAGTTCTATCATCAACATTGATGATAACCTTAGCCATTTTCATGAATGACCTTCCAAGAATAATAGGGATCTCCAAATCTTTCCCCATCTCCATTACCACAAAGTTCACCAGGAATCTAAGGTTGTCTGTTCGAACCACTACATCTTCCACCACACCATAAGTCTTCTTAGTGGATCCATCCACCATTTGCAAAGTTACCTTTGTAGCCTTGACTTCAAGACCACCAATCTTCTCAAGTACATATAAGGGCATCAAATTGATACTAGACCCTAAATCAATTAAGGCTTTCCCTATTTCATAACTCCCAATAGTGTAGGGAATAGTGAAACTTCCTGGATCTTTAACTTTTGAAGGGAGTGCCTTTTGCAAGATCACACTACAATCGCCTTGTACCTCAATTGTTTCGTCCTCTAGATATTTTTTCTTTTGAGGAGTTTCTTAAAAAACTGTTAAACTGATTTTTGTCGCCTAAAATCAGAACAAAGTCTGGTCCCCACTAATGTAGCATAGTGCAACCAGAATATCAATCCTAGGACTCAACAAAATTAAGTTTTAAAATGTAGAGTTAAGTCTTGTATTTATTTACTAATTATTTACTTACTCAACAAAATTAACTACTACTAAACAGGTGGGGACATTTAAAATGAAAACAAAGAAAATAAAAAATTAAGAAAAGCGAAACTATAATATGTTTTAAAATAAAAGAAGGAAGAAAATAAAGAAATAAAACCTAAGCTAAAGTAATGAAGAGATTAAACCTATTTATATCCAAAACAAAACCTATATACTAAAACTAGAACAAAATCAGAAATAAAACCAAATTGAAAAGAACTTAAAACTCAAGATTGAAAAGCATTATATCAACAAGAATGTAAAGGCTGCAACAGAAGTAAAGCAGATCATAAATTCTAAAATACTCAAAGTAAACAACTGGAACATCAAAACTCAAACTGAACTTCAAC